AAATATGCATAATTTATTATACTCACAGTGAAATGGAGAGCGAAGTTCTAGCTTTGACTCTGTCCTGGAGGAAGCACTAGATGGACCCCGGGCGATCTAAGAAATTTTAAGAAATGACACAAAAAAAAAAGTAACTATATCAGATAAAGCATTCTTTAACCACTCTTTAAAAATTTTTATTTTAAACTCTTAAATTTTTCTATGTAATCTCTCAATCTCGATATTAATGTTCTTTCTATAATAAATTTTTATTTTCTCCTACCGGAACTCTATTTTATTTTCTATTATTTCTACTCTCTATTATATAAATAAATTTCTATAATGAATTTTATTTGCTACCGAATTCATTTTATTTCTATGACCGAAATTTCGGGCAGCATCTCCCCAAAAATCGGACTATCCACGCTGTTAAAATATCAACAATTTATCTAATAACTCCAACCAACAGCCCATCCATCGGCAATCAATCATTCAATTTTCTCAGCATCTCCCATCCCGAATATCAATATCCAAACATAACCTTTAATTCTCGATTATTCATTTCATTCATTATCGATATTATCAATTCAAAATTCCCTCAATAAATTAATCGAAAGGATTTTAGTGAAATCACATTTATATTTTAAATCAAATACTGAAAATTAAAAGTTAACTTAATTTTAACTACTGCACAATTACGAAATTAAATTACACTAAAATTAATTAACTAAATAATAAAAATTAATTCAAAGTAACTAAAATTAGTAGCATATAATTTTATACCCCAAAATAATCTTTTGTCAAATTTTCGCTAGATCGAGAGTTTTTATGCGTGCCGGATCAAAGGGCAGTAACTGCCAGTGGCCAGATCCAACTGACAGTGGCAGAGACAGTGGCGATCGGCGGCGGTGGCACACGATCTGGCGGAGGAGCGGCTGGCAGCGAGGCTTGAAGCTGGTGCTACTGTTGTAGGAGCGACAGGCCTGGCAGAGGGCTGACTGTGGTGCGCGGAGGAGCTGCGGGACGTGCTGGCGCGCGATGGAGGTGGTGCGACTGCAACTAGCACGCGGTGGTGATCGACTGACGTTGCTGGAGCTGCTGGAGTTGCTGGCAGTGACGCACAGTTGCAGGGAAGAAGAAAGGGAAAGAAAGAAAAGAAAGAAAAGAAAAAAAGGAAAGAAAGAAAAGAAGAAGAAGAAGAAGAGAAGAGAGGAGAGGAGGTGGTGCAGAAAATGGTGAGTGGGAGGGTTGAAAGTTTGCGCTGGATATAGAGGGGAGGAAGGCTTCCTAGAAAAGTGGTTTGGGCTGATTCGGTTTGGATCTGGTTGGATTCAGCCCAAATCTGGTTTTTCTTTTGATTGCCGATTTTCAATTGGTTTTCGATTCGGTTTAATCACTGTACAAATTATTAATTTGTTTGCATTTAAATAATTAAATACATTTCCAGGCTGTCCGTTTATTAAATTTAAATGGAAAATCTTTAAAAATAAAAATTCGGGTTATTTCATAATCATACTTCGACATTATGTGTTCTTGACATGGGATGAGAGAAGCTTAAAGAAAAAATACGCTAAATCATTAAAAATACCCCAAACTTTGTGTAGTTTTAATTGTATCATAAATCCAACTTTCTTCTCTTAGTACCTTGAACTTTAATTTTAATTGCAATAACACCCTAATTTCAAATTATAACCAATTTAATGAACAAAAATATTATTTTTATGGGTCTCAGTTTAACCTTTTTTCCAAATTAGACTCCTTCTATATTAAATATTAAAATTAAAAAAATCTATTCATCTTACAATTTTATTCATTAAAGTGGATACAATTTGAGATTAGGTTGCTATTGTAACTAAAATTGAAATTCAGAGTATTAGAAGAAGAAAGTTGGATTTAGGGTACAATTAAAATTACTTGTAAAATTTGAGGTATTTTAATGATAGCCAAAAAAAAGAAGAAAAATAAGGAGAGAGACTATGACTAAGAGAGTTTCAAAAAAGCGTTAGGGAGAAAAAATAGATGAAAAGTGAGGACAGAGGTATGTTAGGGTTTTGGTCAATGGGCATGAAAATAAGTGATAAATATGTTAGGGTTGACGTGGCATCAATTATGTGGCAACTTTTCAACTAATTTAGCATGCCAACAAAGCAATCTGTTCAAAAGTGAGAAGTTAAATGGTTTTAGACTTAATTGTTACAAATTTAAAAGCATAATCATTTTTATGGGACGTTTTGAAGATTAGGGATGATAGAGAGAAAAGGGAATAAGTTGAGTAATGACAGATAAAATTAAATTGAGAAATTGAGTTTTATAGATTCTTAATACAAGAAAGAAAAATAATATGATACATCTTTTATATGAAAGATAATGATTTTTATAATATGATTAAGTAGAAAAAGTTTATATCATTTTATTTAAATACTAATTTTGTACCGCTAAGATTATGGTTAATAAATTTTTATGTTCAGTTTTAAATTAGAGACGTTAAATTAAAGATGATGAATCAACCTATCACAAGTAAGGCAAAGGGAAAACTGAATAGCAAGTTGTTTTTAGTTTGTATAGTTCATTAAACTAACTAGTATATATAATAATTTGTAAACTTTTAACTTTTTATCAATGTAAATATTAAAAGAGATAATCATTATGCAATTATGATGCCTAATGAGATGTTGGGTTATAGATTTGTCAGGTTGACACCACAGGGATACTTATGTTCTATGCTTTAAATGTTTGGATAACTATAATTTCTATGAAGAGAATTTTTTCAAGATCCGTTTGATTTCAAGGAATTTTATATTTTACGTTCTTAAACTTTCAATAAATTTCAAATACTTTATTTTGTATACTCTATTTCAGGTAAAGTATTAAATTAATAAACGTTTTAACGGTATGCTATTTCATATAATATGATCTTTCAAACTTATGAATTGGTCACCGGCGGTTGGTGATCATGTTGCAGCAGGCATGTCATATTTTATAGGGAGGAAAGGCGTGATTATATATACACATATGTATAGATAGCTTACCACACTTAAAATGTTTTTTTTTTTGTTTTATTTTCAAAAGCAAAAGATAAAAATAGTAATAACCATCCTCGAGACTTATTTATGCTGCTTTTGAAAAAAGTTTTAACATTGTATTTAATGTTTTAATTAGAATCTAAATAATATCTACATTATTAAAATTGTTTGATGCCACTCACAGATTATGGCTTAATTGACGATGCAAATTGTATATGTGAAAAGAACTCGTGCATTTAATGCTAACTAATCATACCTACCGCTATCAAATATTTTTGCACGTCACATTATTGTCAAAACAAGAGATTCCACATCTTGAATTGAACAAAATATTCTTTTTCTTCCAATTAGAGGCGTACACACAAGAATACTCAATTTTCTCTAAAATTCTATTGAATGGTCCACAAAATACATACTTACAAATATAAAAATAGCAAAAGCCTTCCAAAATCTTAACCAACTTTTCTTTATTAGACATCTGCCAAAGAATTATATGTTTTATTTCCCTTGTAATATAATCTATTTGCCTACCTTATTTCACCATATATATTCCCTAAAAAAGTTTTCTGCAACTTTAACCCACAGAGATGAATGGCAAATCCCACAATTTGTTAGTGATATTTATTGTTTTACAATAAATATATAACTCTTAGAAGAGATGCTTTGTCAACTGCTAGGATAATCCCTGCTGCCAAATTTTCCCTGCATATAAATAAAATTTAAAGCTACATTAATATTCACATGTACAAATAATAATAAATTAAACCTGTAAATGAATTCAGAAAGTCAGAAAATCATAATTAATTAATTGCTGTCATTTTAAGAATTCAACCTCCAACAAGCAAATCAGTTGACACCCTATTCAAGCAATGGCCTACCACTACCGGCACCATTCCACTAGTGAAAAAGAAGCAACAACTTTTTCATTTTTATAATAATAATTTATTTATTTTTTGGCCGGCTTTTTCAAGCCAGCCAACTACTTAGCACAGCTAACCTTACCATTCCTTAAAGATTAAATGTCCACTAATTGTCAATAAGGTCAGCTTATATGAAATGATCTATCAGAATCTAAAAACAACTTTAGTGTGCAATTCTTGGGGGACCTTAGAGAGACACTTCTGATGGCTGAAGAAACAACAGCTTATGAAAATATTTTATTATGCAGAAATTGGAGATTAAATGAACTATTTTGGCAGCTAGGCAGTCACTTTTTGTCGAATGGTCGATCGAGTGGATTCGTCCATCTGTCAATCTTATCCCCTACAGAAACATTGCTGATGCAATATATGGTATCTAATATGAATGCAGGGTGTCCATGATGCTGATAGCCACTAACCCACTTTATGCTCCAGTATCAATTGATGTAACATGTGTTGAACATGAAACACAATTTTCACTCTTAGCATAATAAAAAGTAGTAATTCTTTAAGTTAATCATTTATTTTAAGCCACAAAACTATGCTGAAGAATCAAAAGTACCATCAAAATACCTTGAGAAAGTTGTCATTGGTTTTACACCTTCAAAACCAATGAATACAGAAAAGACAATAACTTGGAAATAGATTGGAAAAACTTGGAGATGATGATGATGTATTTAGAAGATATTTTTAGTGAAAAATCAATTACAATAGTAATTTAATTCAAGATTCTTCTGCTGCTGATGCAATCTGATAAAGATTACCTGATAGCAATGTTTTGCCTACTGATGTGAACTTGTTTGACATAGACATGGTTGATGCTAGAAATTCTATTTTGGAGATGGAGATAAAAGGTATACAGACTCAGAATTATATTTGGAATAAGAGCTCACAATCAAAAGACAAAATTTGATGATCAATGAGAAAAATAAATAAATAAAGATTTGTGTGAAATGTTAGCCGAAAGATGGCCTGCAATGTCTTTTCCTGATAGAAGCAAGTTTGGACTTTTGTCTAGTTGAAGATAACAAGAATTTCTCAGCAAAAAAAGATTCACATGCATGATTGCAAGTGGAGATAAGGAAGATGGAGATCCATTACCATATCTTTCCATTAAAGAATTGAAAAAAAAAAAAAAATGAACTGTGTCCAAAAAATTGGACTTAATACAAAAACCAGTACACATCAAAGCATCCACTTGGTGCATGCATTGACTAGGCAACATTACAGTTGATTCAAGCTAGCATAAAGAAACTGGATGGTTTAAAAATGTTGTGAAAACATCAACTGTATGATTTGGAGATTATTCTAAAGATGTCTAAAATACATATATTCAATAGTATCTAAAGTCAGCTCCCATAAGTTAGATCCAAAAAATAAGGGAAAAAAGAGGGCCTTTTCTTCTCTTCACATAGGTATATGCAGTGATGATTTCGTGGAAAATTGATATTTAAAAAATAATAGGCCACATTTAGTGAGGTCCAAGAGTTGGATGTGTAATTCAGAATGGATCTTGCTCCAAATTGTAAAAGGAATTTGAATCTCACCTAAAAAAATACTACTCTTGCAGTTATATCATCTCAAAGAATTTGTGTGTGTTCAAAATCTCTCCCTCCCTACATCATGAATTCTGAAGCTTCTAAGCATAAAGAAAGTGTGCTATAACGTAGATCGCCAGACAGAATACAGACAAAACCTGCAGAACAATATAAATTGCAAGAAATGGCATTAGATGCATTGTTTTGCTCATAACAGAAAAAATATGTTGATATGCAACATTTCTCCCAAAAAATTAATATTGAAAAGGTAAAGATGGAGACTCTTACATTTATATTTGATCCTGAAGAATAAGTTAACACAGGAAGATAGCCTTGTAATCCAATGTTATAAACTGGAGTACCATCAGGGTAGAAGAGCCCATAATTCCTTTCTGATGTTGGACCAGGTTTTAAATCCTCATTAAAAAGTGCAAAAACATACACATCAATCGGTACTGATGGGTTTGCTGGTGTGCCTTGCTTCTCTTGTATTCTCTGCAAAAGATTACCATTGTATAAGCCAGCATTTTCTGGTGTTGCTCCTACTTCATCTGCATCTCCCTTAGATGGCCAACCTGTCTCTGAAATCCTCACTTGAATATCTGTATGCCCCATTGCTTTAATGGCTGAATAGACAGCGTCAATTTGAGCATACAACATGTTATCATAATTCAAATTTGTATTTGGATCTGTCATCCCTTGGTTAGGCTGGAAAAGTACATAGTTTAAAGGAACCTCATTTGGGTTATACTTATACGCGAAATATGGATACGCATTGATAAGGAATGGTGAATTTATTTGAGAATGAAAGTTCAATATAGGGTGGATATATTCAGCAAAATCTGGTCTAAAAGTCCCAGATGAAGGAGGGTAAGAGTTGGCTAAGATATTAAGAGAATGCGCAGTTGTGACAGTGACTTGCTTATCTAATCCAAGATTAACAAGAGCATGATAAACAGTTTGCATTGCAGGGAGAAGATAAGACATTAACTGAGTATCATTGCTATTGAAGACCTCATTTCCTACAGTAATGCAAGTAATTTTAGTTTGAGGGAGGTGGGGCTGAAGGTGCTGTTGAATCCAATTTTGAGCTTTAACTGGGTCCGTCATGTTTTGAATATACTCATTTCCAAGACCAATGATGAAATCTACATTTGAATTGGAAAAAGCAAGTAGGACATTAGGATCTGCATCGTAGAGTTTTACCCTTGTAATGTTCAGTGATTGGAGGAGCAACGCAACTCGAGAGGGAGACGGGAGATTATTGGCGATCTGGCCATAGTTAATTCCAACGCCAACGCTTTGTATTCGGACAACTGAATCTGGGGCAAACAAACAGAGTTCAAGATTCATTACTTATGCAATTCCATTCAAGAAAATACTAAGAACACTATCAATCAAGACCCAGAATTACAAAATTATATAATATTCTTACTCAAAAATTTCAAGAACACAGCTGAATTATATAATTATATAATTCCAACAAATAAGTTTCAATGCAAGAATTCTTTAGCTCAATGAAAATTATTTACCATACTTATGCAACTCCATCCATGAAAATACTAAAAACAATTATCAAGGCCCAAAAATTAGAAGTTTTGAGTTTTATACCTCAAGACATAGCCATTGTACTTAGAAATTCCAAGAACACAACTACATATCTTTTCCTTACAATTCAAATCCAGCTCCAACAAATAAATCTCAATGCCAGATTTTTTCAACTTAATGAAAATTTTAAAAAATGAATAAACTACATGAGTAAGCTAAATCATTAATCAAGAAAAATTCAGAACAAAGTGCAAAGAAAAATTAATTAGATTCCCATTAAAACCATTTATCAAACCCAAAGATTATATCAAAGAATGCTGTTCGTTTGCTAGAGACAAAAATTTTCAGTTTCTGCAAAGATGAAGCCAAAGAATAATGCTTCAAGTAGGTAGCAAGTCTTATTCTCGTGCAACAAACAAAGAAAAAAAGAAAGGAGAAAAAAAAAATTAAGCTTTCAAGTTTGCTTCACTTTCTTTAATATTCTCGCAGTTTCATGGCAGCCAAGCAGAACTCTGCAAAGGTAGTTAAAACAATTGAAAACGAACCTGAAAGAAAGAGAACCAATAAAAGGACGAAGCAGCCGGCCATCACTGATCTGATCTCGGTTTAACCAAGACCACCTCAACTCCACAGTCCCAAACGCACCGTTTGCCAACTGACAAACTAGCAAAGATATCTTGTATTTATAACGATGAGTTCAAGGCGCCATTTTTTTTTTTTTTTTTTTTTTTTTTTTTTTTTTTTTTTTTTTTTTTCGTCTGTGCATGTGAACTCAGTTTTAGTTGCTGACAAGGATCCACTGATTTTTATCTCATATTTTTTTGTCTCCATGCGATTCCTTACACGTATTGCATTTTTCGTCCCTATCTTAGTATAGCCACAGGTGATTAACCGACATGGTTATTTTTTATTTTATTTTATTAATAATTAATTACTTCTTGAAATCTTCCTAATTAATTAGTTTACAATTTTAGAAAGTGCTAGTTAATTTATTTATTTACTGTTATTTTTATTATTTTATTTATAAATAATAAATCAAATCTATCTATAATATATATAAACAAGTGGAAATAGATAAGAGAATATTGAAATTACCAAAAACGCCTTACTAAGTCTATAGATTAATAAAAATATCATAATGCATGATTTTAATTTGATTAGTTAAAAAAATAAAAATAATTTAATTTAATTGATCATGTTATTTTTCTATTTAAATCTTTTTTTTTGAATTAATTTCTTATTTAAATCTTGTTCTATTGAATAAAATAATAAATTATATATACACTACATAAGGTATATATTAAATATGCTAATAATCTAATATTTTTAAAAATTTTAATTTTATTGATTAAAAATAAAGATAATTTAATTTTGATTTGTTATATTATATTAAAATGCATATTAAAAACGATAAGAATACTATATTCAATTATTATTTTAATAAGTCTTTAATTTGATTGATCATAATTATTTTCTACAAATAATTTATTGTACAAGAAATAAATTAATTTATTATTATTTCTTAAGGAATATATTATAAGATTTATGTTTGATATAAAATAGAAAATAAAACTTTCAAGAAATATTTATAATATAACTTGTTATATTAGCAAACTATTAAAAGGGTTTTTTTCTAAAAAAAGCAACTGTAAAATTAATTATATGCTCATGAATTTAGTAAAAAGTAAACAAAATATTAAAATTATAAATGATGCTCTAAAATAATGATTAATATATTAATTATTATAAAAGTTAATACTGATTTCTCATATTTTAGTAATATAAACAGTTTATGATATTATATTATATACGTAAAAAATTAAATTAATTAAATATATAAAATTATTATAAATAAAATTTAAATTGATAGATAAACTAATTTTAAAATTTAAATTGATAGATAACTAATTTTATTTTAAAAAATTGATTGTGAAATTATAATAATAGTAAATTATTACTCTTTCATATTATTTTATTATCATAATTCAGTAAACACAATATATATATATATATATATAGAAGATATAATATTTACTTAATTTAATCGGTTGAAATAATAAAAGTAATTTAATTTAATTTAATTTTCTAGTAGTTATTACATTAATTTTCTATTTAAATATAAACTATGTTGTATATATCTTTAAGGATTTTTACATAATTTGGTAAAATTCTACTATAATAATTTTGTATATAACACCCCGTGCCCGGATTATGATAAGCCATCAAGTTCATGGATATTCCACACAAAAGAGGGTACACACTGTGCTAAAGCACTAACCCTAGCCTTGGCCACGGTTCCGGAACCGGCGGTTCCGGTTCCAGAAAAATTGAAACCGGAACCGAACCGAAAAGGTCCGGTTCCGGTTCCAGTTTGGAACCGTCCGGTTCCGATTCCGATCCGGTGACAAAACCGACGGTTCCGATCGGTTTTCCGGCGAATCGCATAATTTTAAATTTTAAATTTTGAAGACCGGTTTAAAAAATCCGGATCGAGGGCTTTTCTTGTGGGCCCCCGGCGAATCGCAATTAATTTTAAAATTTTAAATTTTTGGAAGACCGGTTTAGATGTAAAAAAAAAAAAAATTAAATTTGAAACACTAAAAAATTAAATAAATAACACCAAAAAATTGTTATAAAATGTTGGAGAGAGACGCGGTTTAAAAAAAAAAATTCTATTTGAGACGTAAAATTAAAAAATACACCTAAAAATAAAAATTAAAAAATACTTCAATTAAAGTTTATTTGTTTTTAAAGAACTTGAAACCTTGTTGAACATAATTATTTTTTTAAAAAAAAAAAATTTCAACTGAATTTTTTTTTTATAAAAGTTTTGAACATAATTATTAAAAAATATATTATTATATATGGCTGGTGAAACTTAAATTTTTTTTTTGTTTAAAAAAAAATTTAAAGTTGCCCTACGATATCTCTCATAGGGTTTTAGAAGGAATCAGCCCCACGTAGTTTTTAGCTTTAATCTTATACCAATTTCAGCTCCATTGTACCTTTAATCGATATTTTGCACCTTACCTTAATCGATATTTGCACCACCGGTTGATGTTCCCGTTGAGGACCCATCGTATAAATCATATAAATCTTCATTTTCTTTTAGATTTTCTTGTGCTCTTATTTTACATTAATATTAAAATAAACTGAAATTAATTGAAACAGAAACTAAACTTACTCTTTTGAAAGAATCACAACCTGACTGCTGAATAAATTAAAATATATCAGAATACGAGTATATAATTTTATAATTAATATTTAATAGAATGAGTTTATATATTTTAATGTTTATTTTTTATTTTATAATCATTATAATTGATTTAAGTTTTAGTTTCAATTAGCCAATATATTTTTAATTCAATTTTTAAATTATTTAATTTTAATGTAGTAATATTCAAAAAAAAAAGAAAAAAAAAACAAAAATGAAGGACAGAAAGACAAGAACGGTTTTGATATGGGGCCCTGTAAGACTTTTCTGGATAGGTAAAAGAGTGGACTCTTTGGTCTGCATTGTCCTGCCCATACAGTAAAACACAATGCAAACGTTTTTTTTTTTTTTTTTTTTTTTTTAATTATTTCTATAGAACTAGAACACCGCCGGTTCGAAGCGCGGGATCGAACCGGCGGTTCTAACCCGGCCGGAGACACCGGCAGTTTCCATCCGGTTTCCGCGGTTTCTGGAAACCGCCGGTTCGGTTCTAAGAGTCTTGGAGGAACCGAACTGGGTTTGGCCCGATTTTGGTTCGCGGTCTGACCCGGGTTCTTCGCGTTCTCAAGGGTTCCGGTTACGGTTCCGGACACGGTTTCGGAACGGCGACGGTTTTCCGATTGCCCCGGAACCGTGGGGAATATGGCCTGTCTAAACATACCCATATAACTAATGAATTTAAAAGCTTGTAATTATAATATAATAAAGCAGGTATGGGAGGAGAACATTGAGATTACCAAAAATGCTCTTATTAAGCTTGAGGTAGATTGAAAAAAATAAATCGTTTAAATGATTTTTTTTTTTTTTTTTTTTTTTTTAATTACTATAAACTAGAACCGCCGGTTCGAACCGGATCGAACCGGCGGTTCTAACCGGCCGGAGAACCGGCAGTTCCAATCCGGTTCCGACCGGTTTTCTGGAACCGCCGGTTTCGGTTCTAGAGAATCTAGAACCGGAACCGAACTGGTTTGGCCCGATTTTGGTTCCGGTTCGACCCGGTTCCGGTTCTCACAGGTTCCGGTTACGGTTCCGGACCGGTTCGAACCGACGGTTCCGATTCCCGGAACCGTAATATGGCCATGTCTAACTAACCCTATAACTAATAATTAAAAGCTGTAATTATATATATAAGCAGGGATGGGAGGAGAACATTGAGATTACCAAAAATGCTCTTATTAAGCTTATAGATTGAAAAAAATATCGTTAAGAATTTTAATTTAATTGATTAAAAAAATAATAGTAATTTAATTTTGATTGATCATATTAATTTTTTATCTAAATCTAAACTCTATTGGATAAAATAAGAAATTATATTATATACTACATAATTAAATATGTTAAGAATATAATATCTTTAAAGATTTTAATTTTAATTACTAGTTAAAAAATAAAGGTAATTATTTCTAAAAAACATAAAAATAATTTAATTTTGATTGATATATTAATTTTCTATTTAAATTTAAATTTAAATTTTATTAAATAAACTAAAAAAATTATATTATATACTAAATCATATAATCCTAATGCCAACGATGACCCTGTCGATGATCCAATTTCTCCTATGCTCACTTTTGAGTAGCTTCAACTGTGGCTTCACTATAGGGACAAATTGCGGAAGTCCAAGTTGTTCATCCTCGCGCTTATTTCATTAAGAATCAAGGCGAAAACAATAAAGATGAAGTACATCTAGTAGAACGATCAATTAGGTTGCATGAATAGGCCATCAATGAACCTTTGTAGAGAGGTGATACTTATGAGTAAACAATTCAGTCACATCTTAACAACTTAGCTCCATACATGATGTATCGAAAGCAGACTTTAGAATGAAGGTAAAATAAATATTAAGAGAATATGAAGAAAATTTGATTTTAAGAAGTCATCATTTAAGTTTTGATTCGAAGAGAAAATTTAAGAAAAACTTAGTTTGACTCTAATGTTATTCCAATGGAAAAAAATATACTGATTCACGAAACTAAAAAGGATTGAAACTAGATATTCGATTGAAAATAATTTTAGATTTAGCCTTAAATAGAACTTGGTCAACTCATGAAAGAAATTTTGGATGAACACTTACAATATGCATGACAACTTATTATGCATGGGTATATCTAAAATCTCAATAGGCAATAAATAAAAGAAAAGAAAAGAAATAGTTAGAAAATAATTCAAGGAGTACATATTTATACCATTTTTTGGATTCTAGGATGCTCACATATCTCCTAAAGTAATAAACGGAAAAAAAAAAAAGAAAAAAAGAAGAGAAGAGAGAGAGAGAGAGAGAGTTTTAATTAATTTGGTTTGCAACTTAAATTAAGTTTACCTATATATCATTTCGAATAGAAATCAAAACCATGCAATTCTACTCATTGTGAAATGGAGGTGATTTTACGCTTCTTTTATCATATTTTTGGAAGTCTTTTTTACCAAGTTATGATGTCTAATAAGGAAAAAAGTTGATTAATTGATTGATTTTAATTCTTCTTTATCATATTTAGAAAAGATGTCTAAGAAGAAATAAAGAGAATATTGAATTCAAAGGGAT